TCCTGCTCCTAATGAGCAGACATAAATCACAGTAGCCCAAAACGGGTTCGCCCATCTGATAATCACAAAATCATATTCAGCCAGGAGGGACCTAAGAATGTATGTTGTAGCTGGTTCGGTTTTTCGGGGACAGAGTGGAGTTCCAGGAAGTAACCGAATCGCTCTACAATTACAGTCTGGCGACAGGAGCAGCACCCGTTGGAGGATGCTCCCCCGAATCCTGGGACAACATGAGACACTTTTGCGAACAAAACACCGCTAGCAAGCAAGGCAAGTTGCAAATAATAAAAAAAGGAACCTGCTAAAAAGAAAACGGGGCAAAGGGAAAGCAGGCAACGGAGACGACAAGAGTTATTTTGTATGGAAAGTATCGCATATCAGCAGACGACAAGGACAAGGACAGCGCTGAGACCCAGGACCAAGGTCCTGTCCTCCCATTCCTCTCCTGTGACCCCAGTCGCAGTCTCGACCATTGTTTGAATGTAATGTAGCGCCGCATTTTCGTGCTGCTTCTGTGTACTTTTAGTGCTGCTGCAAAACGCATTTATTGAAGATTTACAGCGGCAACTTGCAGACAAAACAACAACCAACCAGCAACAAACTGGCTGGAAAAGCAAGCAGCATTTGGTGCGCCTTTTGGCATTTGAGCAACTTACATATTTCCCTCGTTTTCCTCGTCCTTTGTTTTCCCCAACGCCGCCGGCTACATAATTTCATTTGCATTGGCAAAAGGGACGTGAGAAAGGTGAGGAGCACAGAGGGTTCACTGAAAGGAAAATTGATTTGATTTGAAAGGAATATTTGGAGACCTTTGAAGATGCAAGTGAAGATCTTAAAATGTTTGTACATAAAGCAGAGTTTTTAGAACTATAATCGAATCACATCAAAATCTAAAGCAATAGAACTAGAGGTAATTAAAGTAAGTTTCTTATTTTCCCTATAGTTTCCTTTAAAAAATCCCTACTAATTTCATTCAAATTACATTACATTTCTTGCCGTGTTCGGAAAATCGTTGGGAAAATGCGAATGCGTGACTCCTTTGGGGAAAGCAGGCTGGGAAAACTTTTGCAGTTATGTCCGCAACAGGATGGAGCTGGAGCAAATGCTTTAAGTATGCTCACCATTTCGTATTTGGGTGCATTTCGCATTTGCCTGCCACTGACGCACGTACGACAGAAGGATCCTAGGGAGGACATCGCAACGAGGTCTCCGGGGAGCACAAGGACGACACACGTCACGGCAAAAGTTAAAAGTTTGCCATCAATGTTTGCATTTCAAGTTTCACTCCTGGCTGGCAGTTCATTTTGCTCTTCTGCTGGGCGCTGTGCACAGACGTCCTTGACAGGATGACAGGAATCCTGGCTGCTGCAGGTTCCAGGAGTATGAAGCAGCTGCAGTCTCTTTTTGTGCACTTTCTGCAGCGCAGATCTCGGTCGCCACTTTAAGCGGAATTTAATTTTTTTGGTCTCTAACTTTCGTCTTAAGTTAAGAGCTAATAAAAAGCCAAGTGGCTTTTGGCCTTAAAGCTGAAGAGCAATTCGATTTGAGCCTCAGAAGCTGTAAAAGTTTTCTCACAACTCACAGAGATAAGCGCCAGGTGCACTCAGAGATTTTTTTTAGAATGAATTTAATTTGGTTTTGCTATCGAAATACATTTGTTATGAGCAGAGAATAATGATCAAAATGTTCTTAATTATATTTGTAATGTTCCCAACTCAATTAAACAGCATTTTCAGTTCACTTGAAGTTCTTTTTGGTTCTTGAACCAGCAACCTGTCTGCCCAATAAAAACGTTTAAGTAAATTCCAAACTCCTGGACATGCAATCAGCCTGCTATTCAAATCGAGCCCAAAAGAGCTATCCTTTGGCACAAAAATCAATTGAGCTTTGACCACCGACTGAACTCAGTTAAATCTCTGAACCCTGCCGTCTGTGGTTTTTTTTTTTAGTTTGGAGTCTGGAGACCGGAGTTTGGAGTCTGAAAACAACTTGGCAAATTAGATGATTCTCTGGGAAAACGAACAAGCCCCAAGAGTGGCGGCAAAGTTGCCAGCGAAACTTCAATTCCCCGATCAGGTGCGGATAGGGTTTTGGGGGGTTGCGAAGTTGCGATTTACTTTTCCAGTCGGTTTTTCCAACATTTCCCAGTCTCCTGTCTCTCTGCCCTTCCGGCTGTTTGTCGACTCACTCGACCGTTGTTTGTTGTACGCACGTAAACGATGCCAAGTCGGAGTATTTATTACGCGCACAACTTGACATAATTCCCATTTTCTGAGGGGAGGGACTGGGAAAGCGAATCCTGTGAGGGGTTGGCTGGCTCTAAGCTGATGCAGCAGTTGAACTAATGCTGTCGATATAGATTTATAACTCCGCCTGCACGTCTCTGTGTGAGTACGTTCAATTGCCTGCGCCATCATCATCAGTATCAGGGACATACATTCAAGACGACAGCGATGTCATCAAGATGGGTGGAACGGAAAAAATACAGATGGAGCTTTAGACTAGAGTGTCTCGACCAGGGAATACCTGGGGATCTAGAGTGAGAAAATGCTAGCCTACTTACTGGGGGGACTCATTTTTTTTGGTTGTTAGATACTGTACCTCTATCACTTTGATTATGAGTTAAATGTATTAAAAGCTAACTTTTCCAAGGTTTTAATGCTTGGTTTATATACTCTTTACTCTCATACTCTTTACTCTTTGTATGAAAAAGACTGTTTTGTTCTGTGTCTAATCCAATATACCCATCTATTCTACGAGTACCTAGTATGAAAACAAGTTGCGACTTAACAACTTCATCAGCTGGCAGCTCACTTAGTTTGGCTGACAGCCTATATGGATGTGGACATGGATGTGTATATATGTTCGCAATGAGATTTCTTAGCGCATTAAGCAGCAGTATCAACAGGAGCTGGAACAACAGCGAATAAATGCCATTAGCAGCCAACAAACTGTAAGCCAAAATGGGCGCCATCAACGCGAAAATAATACGGAAAATGCGGCGTTAATGGCAACGTTGGAAAAAGAGGGCACAACTCAGTTAGAGACGAGGGCCATGTGGAGGGCAAACGATGTTATGATTATGATTATTATGTTGCTATTAGATTAAGAGCAATTTTAACTTTTTCCGCTCGCTCACAAAGGCAAAAGGCGAAAGGCGAACAGCTCCCCTTTTCCGATTTTCCGTTCCTTACTTACGTTACTTTCTTTTTTCGTGCGTCAACGCTTTCCGTTTGGCTTTGGCTTACGACACTTGACGCCCCAGATCTCCGCCTCCAAGTCCCCCTTTACCCTTATCCAGCGCCGTCCTTATCCAAGTTTTCCGTGCAGCCCGAAGGGCAGAGTTACTTTGCCATTGTTCTACCCCGGGTCTTAGCCACGCTTAATTGGTTGGCTTTTATTACTTGGCAAGTGCTGCAAGCGCATAATTTGCGACGACGACGAAGACAAGAACGATGTCGGGGAACAGTGGGCCAACTTCGGGATTATACAAATTTCATGGATGGATTAACGAAGCACTTCCAAAACGTTCTTAAAAGATCAATTGATTAGCCTGAAGCCTAAGGAAGCGACATAAAATATTAAAGGGATTCAAGGAAATATTATTTTAAAGAGCTCTTAAATATCAGCTTCCGAGTTTTGAAGCATTTACGACCAGTTTTATAAACTGTAAATGATTTAAATGCATTATAATTATTATTATTATTTTGCCAAATACGAGTCTCCCTCGGAATAATCTTTATATACATACCTTCAAAAAATACAAGTTTCCAAGTTATCTCGTACCTTTTACACAACCCAAAAAACAACCGAACAATCTATAAAATTCTTGAAAATACACATTTGCTGGTCGTAGCTCTTGCTTTTCTTTTGTATTTTCTTTCCCTAGCTTCTTTTTTTTCTTGACTGAACGCGAACGTAGAAATCTTTTTTAATTAAATAAGCATCCGTAGATTAGGAGGCAGGGGCCTCGGTATCACATCACTTCGCACCTACACCGTCTGGTACATGGTCACGCCCACTGCGTTACCGCCCACTTGGGGCACACCACCCACTCAGCCACCCCACCCATTCAGTGGCAAGGGGCAGGCGCGTGCCTTTGGTAGTTTGCGGCACCATTTTAGCGCGAAATGAATTTAAATTGTTTGCCGTCGTTTCCTGCATTAAGGGCAGCTTCCTTTTGAAGACCTTTGTTGCCGGCGGAGCTGTAGGAAAACGAAATTACTTAATTACAACAATTATTAGATGGAAGGGCCCCCGAAACTTCTCAGTGGATGGATGGGTGGGAGGGCGTAGGAGGAAGAAGGGCTTCCTGCTGCAGTTGTTGCTGCTGCTTTTGTCTGTTAATTTAATTAAATATCTTCACACCTTCCGCCGACCCATACAGAAGACCTTGTCTTGGAATCTTAGGTGTTAATTTCCTGTCCCGTGGATGCAAAAAAACAACAACGAGTGCAGCGAGTCGGCTCTAATAAAAATAATTGCCACGGCCAGACAGGCGGCAGGAACAGGAGCAGGCGCTGCAGTGGAAAATTACAAGCCACCAAGAAGGACTACCGACCTCCGGGTTTTATGCTACGGAAAATTGCATGCGAAATAATTGAAAAGCATCGACTGCAGCAGCTTTGTCCTGCCGCATCCTTGGAGCAGATAAAGTTTTCTCGCAGTTCTCCGCGTCCGAAATAATAGCAGCCAAAGTGGTTGTAAATATTTTCCAGCAGCTCCTTCTCTGCCCGCAGCGTGACAAAATGCAGCGAAAAGTCATTTTTCAGCTAAATGAATTTGCGCCAAATGCGCAAAAAACGACGCAAAAAAAAAAAAAGAAATGGGAACTTGCGGAATGGGATTGGGAGATATGTTGTAGCACAAGGAAATGGCTTCGCCACTGACCCAGCATCCTGCTGCTGTGGGTCAGCGGCAAGTTCAATGCGCATCTAATGAGGCGACCCAAGATGTCTACGCCATGACTAACGCTCCAAAACTTTCTGTTATCCTTGCAGGTCCTCCAGGTCCGCCGGGTCCCCAAGGCAAGCGAGGGAAGCGCGGCAAGAAGGGCGATGCCGGCGACAAGGGAGATCCGGTAAGTGGCCCCCTAATAAGTTAAAGAATATTGTGAAATAAGTTTTTGTCATTTGCTAAAATATTCCCAGAAATTAGTTAATATTAAATCGAAATAACTATAAGCGCTTACGGACTTAAAAAGTCATTATTAAAGACTAATTTCCGAATATTTGTTGCTATAAATTTAAAGAGTAAAATATTTAAAGAACAGAAATGCAAATATAATCCTTGCTCCTTCCTCGGCAGGGTCTCAATGGCATCGTTGGTGAAAAGGGTGCGGCGGGTAAGCCTGGTGACAAGGGACAGAAGGGCGACACCGGGCATCCTGGCATGGATGTGTTCCAGACGGTGAAGGTAAGTCGGCTGATATCAACCTGACATCCTGCAAAGGACTGCTGCAATTCTTTGGCCGCAAATTAAATAGAGTCTAACCGGATCTAAATTGCTTTGCATTCCTAGGGTCTGAAGAGATCGGTGACAACGCTGCATGGCGGCACGCTGGGCTATGCGGAAATAGTTGCTGTTAAGGTATTGCCACCCACACTCACTTGCCACTTGCCACTTGCCACTGCTCCTAACCTACCCTCCCCGGTCTGCCCCTTATTTCCCATTAGACGTAGACATGGTCAAGACCATTTTTCAGGGGGCCAAAATGCAGATGGCCGGGAGATGGCAGCTGGCACACAACAAATTATTTGCAACTTGTTGTCCTTGGCTGTGTCTCCTCGGTGCCTGCTCTGGATTTGTCCTTCTGATGCTGTCCGGTCCTTGTAGTCGTCCTTCGTGTAGTTGTGTTTATTGTCTCGCTTCATTCTCGTTTGTAATGCTTTTAAGTTGTCTCCTGTCTTGGCTCTTTTGTTTAAACTGCGCCATAAATTTGTTGCAACATCGTAGTTTTTGGTCGATTTTATACCCTCTGTACTCTTCCCCGGGGGCAGTGGCATCTTTTTTGGGTAGTTTTTAATGGAATTTCTATCCTATTTGTCCCGTAGTCTTGAGTTTCACTTTAAGACCATTTTACTTTTGCTCAACTGGAGCTGGTTTCGTTGCATTCAATTTGGAAGAAGCTTAAAATGTTAGTTTTCTTCATAATTTATTAACCAATTCGTCTGAACTTTGTTTTGTTTAACCCTTTGCTTTATTCCCCGATTAGTAAGTAGGAATTATTAGATAGTTTTTAATTACATTTTAATTCTTCTTCTCTATTTACAAAACTGTTACCTTTTGTAGTTTGATTTCTTTGCTTTAATTTGCCTAAAAACGCTTTTTGCAGCAGTCTTTACTAACCAATTTTGTTGATTTATTAACCCATTTGATTTGAAACATTATGTTGATTAACCCCATTTAATTTTTTAATATTTTTTTGGACGGTACATTTGTTGTTTTGGTTATTTGTTGATGCTGTAAGGACTTGCAAGAAGCAGGCGTCAATGTATCCGCTTCGACAGTCATACAGCTGAAGGTGAGTTCGTTGAAGCCTCCTTTTGTTCCCAGCATGTCCTGTGTATAGTTTATGTCCTGCACGTGCCTCCGACCTGGCTCAACTCCATGGGAGATTTTAGGCTAATAAACATGTTTCCCCATTCCCCAGGGTGAGCCTGGAGAGCCGGGTCCACCGGGACCGCCGGGCGAGGCGGGACAGCCTGGTGTGCCTGGTGAACGTGGACCACCGGGCGAAACCGGAGCGCAGGGCGTCCAGGGCGAGACCGGACAGCCAGGACCCGCCGGACCGCCTGGAGCGGCGGGCGCACCTGGCACAAAGGTGAGTGAAATCCGCAGCATGATTCATCGAAAATCCCACACAGAAAACCGAAACAAAGGCCGCACACACACACACACACACAGAATCGGGGAGGAAGATGTCACCAGGATTAATGCATTATTTGTATCTGTTGGATAAACACGGCGACGGCTTAAGTGACTGCCAGTGATTCGCTGTCATCCTGTCTTTTGTTCCCCTGATTTTCCCATTTTCTTTATGTCTCGCTCGCCCTTTACAGTCTACGGCTCTATGGTTTTCCACAGCATTTTCGTTTATCGTTTATTTATGCATTAAGGCTCTCGCCTCTCCTATGACTCTGGATTTCCCCTTAATCCCTCAATGACTCACTCTCTGACACTCTCCGCAGGGCGACAAGGGCGATCGGGGCGATCGTGGCCTAACCACAACCATCAAGGGCGACGAGTTCCCCACGGGCATCATCGAGGGTCCTCCGGGGCCGCCGGGACCACCTGGTAAGTGCCAGTTGATTTTTCAGTATATGTATGTTTGTTTGTGTGAGCATCATCCAACAGCCACTTAACGCCCAAGGAGATACAGATACAGATACGGATACGGATATAGATACTTTGGTGCACAGAGAGAAAAAGAAAGCGTTATGAGATTATTTTAACAACAAACAACAAAGATTTCCATATACATTTGCAGCATGCATATATCTTAAGGTGTAAATATTAAGAAATCGAATTCGAGAAGTTTTCAGTGACTAAATAAGCAAGTTCATATAACATTTCTAGAGATCTATCCTAAGTCTTTTCAAATGTTAGTTATTTTCAATGAAGTACCCCATTTTTCCCTGTGTAGATGCATTGATGCAGATGGAGATATAGGAGCAGTTTGGGCTTGGGTCGATCGATGAGTTTTTCAAGTGTTGCCACGCGGCTGCGGGTCCCCTAATTTATTGTCATCCGCATCTGGGAATGCTCTCACCAAAGCGAAACACCATCGCCATCGACCTCCATCCTCATCTAATTGAGTCATTGACTAGCTCTGGGTGCCATTAGTTTGGCCTTTGATTTGCTGCAGGCCTTTTATTTTTGGCCGGCTCGTTAAATGGATATCGGAGTGGCAGCATGCATTTCCCCGATTTTATTTTTTGTTTTTCTGTTGTTGGGATCACACATTTTTTAAATATTTTATTGCATAGCCCGGACCATATTTGAAAATTTTCTAATTTCATTTGGACGCGGATGCTGCATGCATTTTGCGATAACATTCATGACCTTTATTGTTCGTCTGCCTCGCTCGGACTTTAGCGTCAATTAAATGCGCACAAAAAATGTTGGGAGTTCGGCATCCGCCCATTTGAGGCCACGCCCACAAATAACAATAGAATTTTCATTTATTCGAGTTCGCCCCCAAGTTTTATGATCCGGCCCCAAACACATTTCTGCACTTTATTCGAATTTAATACACGAGAATAGCCCCAAAAACATGCCGTTCCAAAATAGTTGAAACGCAGCCGAGAATCAAATACAAATCCAGCGATTCTCGTAAAAATTTGTAGACCCCAAGAACCCCCAGTCGTAAAAATGCAACTTTATGTCATTTATGTTGCTTTTAGCGGCTCATTAGCATGACTACCATTGAGTACAACACCATTGGTGGGGTATTGTATGGTAGGGTATGGGATGGGATGGGATGGGTTACGATGGGAGAGCTTGTACTATTGTTTTAGTATTTTACTAGGGGCACTCAGTGGTCGCCATAAAGAGGCAATAGGCAATAGGCCGGGGCTCCAACTGATGGATATAGTAGATGAATTGATTACAGCCCCAATAAAAGTCGAGGGCGACAGTGGAAACTCCTTTGACCAATTGATGGATTGCAGATTAATGGCGTTGATGATCCGTGGTTGGGATTTTATTGGGGGGAGGGAATAGAATTTTAATTCAATTTTCTTTTAAATTATTTCAATTTTATGGTTCGGAATTACGCCCACTCTCGGAATTACCCATTCACCAAATTGTCGGATTAATGGTGTTAATGATCTTCGGGAATTGAATTTTAATTTAATTTATTTTATGGCGGAAAATAATGTTGCTTTAATAGGTATTCCCAAGTAGATTCCGGCTATATTTCGCTTTTGCAGTAAACCAAACTAAACCTGATAAATTTACGATTTATTTTCATTCGCTTTAAGTGAAGTGCTCCTTGATTGAATACCCCTGGTGCATTTGACCGTTCGTTAGGCCGTTGAGCAGCGCCATCAATTAAGCGCTTTTCTGCGGTTTTATGCAACCCGCATCATTACGAGAGTCCTCCACTCGGCGCCCACTCCCCCGTGACCTTCCACCCCCCCCCCCCCTTTTGCCACACGGTTCTGTGCCCCTTGACTTATCAGTGCCTGGCATCACGGTGCATCGATGTCGCAGTTGCATCCGATGTGATTGTGCGATTGCGATGATGCTGCTGCTCGTGTGGCTGCCCATTGTATCTGCACTTCTTTCGGGAATCAAGATACACTTGAAAATTCTTTTGAAATTGAGTTTGGGGTTCTGAAATCCCAAGTTCATGGTTAGCTCCAGTTATTCCTCTGTTCTCTGAGTGTACAAGATCTGCAGCTGCGATATCTGTTGCAACTGGAGTTGCCGATTCGATTACTTCCGCAGAGAGATGTAGGTTTCCCCTGCCCATTCCCTTGCCAAATGCTCTGATGCGTTGATGGACATGAAATTGCAATTTATTTTTCCCCAAATTCAGCGACAAGGAGCTGCTCGGGGGACATCGTTTTCGGGCTTGATTTGAATAAATGGAATGTCATTTGTATCCGGGATTCCCTGCGTGCGTCTGGTCTCGACGGCTTATCTTATCGTTCACGTAATTAGTTAAGCTGCCCAGGGCTTTCTTTATGTCTTTTTGCTGTAGCTGTATTGTGTGGGCTTGAGCAATTGGCTGTCCAACGGAAAATGCCGGCCCACCCCAGTGTGAGGGATTTTTGGAAAATCTCAGCACAATCCCCCGGCTGGTGGACAGCAAAAACAATGGCACAGCACCAGCTGTAATATCAAAAAATTCAATTTATTTCATGATTTATTTGAATTTCATTTTCATTTGGGTTTTTGGTTGATTGCATTGCGTCTTCGGGCAGCTTTCGTTCTATGAAATTAAAACTTATCTTTTGCATTTCATCTGCCAACAGAGCGACCGTCCAGCCAAAGGCCAGTCAGCAAAACAAAACAAAATAAACACTAAGCTGGCCGGCAATCCAATATCCTGGCTCCTGGACACTATAAATCCTCCATCCACTCGTTACGTTACGTCGCCTGTGTCTGTCTGCCGTATATAGTTTTTATTCTGCAATTGCAATTGTCGCCCTAAAATGCTTAACGGTAAATTATGCAACCATAAATAGAAAACTTCAGGCCAGACAGTGAACGAGTGGAAAACAGAGAGGAAAGCGTGTCACGGGAGTTTCAGTTCTGGTTATATCCTTACAGGATATTATTACTTTAGTCAGAAGCTTGTTACGCAGTGAAGGAGTCATTTGCAACCCTATAAATCATATATATTCTTGATCAGAATTAACAGCCGAGTCGATCTAGTCAAGAATGCGAGCTCAAATATGATCGATTCCCGAAACGATCCTTATAGTTCGATAGCAATCTGCAAGGATAGATAAACCTAGTCTTCCTAAAGTTCATTTCCTCTCTTGTGTTAAGGATAGTTTTAATGGATATGTTACCTCAAACTTTTAGTGTCCAAGACTTTAATAGCAAGTCGTGAAACGTGCTTAACCTGTTGTAAATTCGCTCACCTCTAGAGGAAGTGCGCTAGATACTCCCGACAAATGCTTTATAAACAAATGGGAGCCGACATCACAGGATCTGTCCTCTGGCAGGACGGCAAATTTATGCTCTCCGCAGGACGAGGTCGTCTACGTGAAACGCAATTTTACGAACTTAATAAATTTTCTATATCTTTTCGCAAAACGCACACCATACACACACACACACACCATACACACACACACACACCCGTTTTGACAAGCCGCACAATTGGGTTTATCTATGATACCAGCCTCCTCCCTTACCAAAAGCCTAGAACCCCAACACTCACCTCCTGGCCTTTGGAGTCCTTGTTGGCTCATTTAATGGCCATGGCAAACAAGCCAAAACAAAAGCCGAACCAAGGAGAGAAAAAAAACGCAATTTCTCATTATTCTAACTAAACAGGTTGGTCGTCCACCGCACAGTGGGCCAAAAGTCAATTTAACGCTGATGGATTTATGAGCCACTTCGACGTTCCGGCTTAGGGACAAAGCACACAAATTGAGTGAAGAGCAAGCGTTTAGCGGGATTGAAAGCCGCCATGGAGCGGCCAATTTCGTGGCGGACGATGATGATGAGCACAAATTGGATTTGAGAGGGAGCCAGAGCTGGAGAGTATTATTTCCTAAGTACACACACTCGGCTTCAGATTCAGATTCCGATTCCACTTCCGCCCCAGTTCGTCGGGCATCCTTGAAGGCATAAATAAAGTCTGCGCTTGCAGCTGCCAGCGAAAGTGCAGCTTATGCATATTAAATTGTTACTCCGCATCTGTTTGCATTCCAATTCCAATTCCCTTGAGCTGTGTGAAGGGGACTTCTCTGCCAGGTACATACATACATCTATAAAATGTAGTATAAATTCCGTAAGTGGGTCAAGTCGTTGCTGTCATTAGCATTGGAGAAGCTGGAAGAGATGGTTTGTAAGAACCGCAGAGCCTTGAACTATTTACCACCGATTGCCAACCACTGTGTATCCATTGTGCTTTACTCTCTGGCAAATAAACAATTTGCATTCCCAACTAAGACCCGACCATCGTTAACCCATCAAGAGGCGGCTGTCTGTCCCTTATCATCAACCAGTTGAACAAATTGCTGACCAAAAACCAACAAACACAGCGGTGGAGCCGGGCTTTGGGGGCTTTATTGAGCGTTGAGTTGCTCTATAATTACAGAGGTCCACGCCCACTGTTTGGACAACACTTGCGGGCGTATCTGTATCTGTATCTGTGCATCTGTGAATATCTGAATATCTGAATATCTGAACAGCAAAACAGCTGAGTATCTGCACAGCGAAAATAATTGGCAAAAGCCTTGTGGAACTGTGAATTTAATAACAAACTAAGATCGTTGTAAATAGTTTCTATGAGAGTCTATAGAAAGGTTTCTGAAAGTAAATTGAATATAATATTTTAATAAACAAGGAAAAAGGTACCTTTAAAGTCTTGCAGTAAGATCCAATATTTAAGGAAACATATTGAAGATCTTTAATGTATCTTTACTCTTCTTTAATTTGTAAAAATGTTAAGCTAGTTTCCTTTTACCCACATTTTTCTCTCTGTCGATTGGAATATATCTGTATATCCGTGGCATTGTTTGCTCCCATTTTGAAATCTGTCACTAGAAGCGGCTCAACTGAAATTAACATTTTCCACAGGTCCGCCCGGAGAGCCTGGAGTGCGGGGCGAGGAGGGACCCATTGGACCCGCTGGACCGCCTGGCGAGAAAGGACCGCGGGGCAAACGCGGCAAGCGGGTGAGTTAAAAAGAGAGAAAAAAATACCTGATTCCACTCGATTTTTAATTAGAAACTCGACAGCCCGCGCTGTCTTTAAATTGAGTTCGGAAACAAGAGTGTATTATCATGTAAATTACTTTTGTACAAATGCGTGGGCGTGTGTTGCGTTAATTTTATGCTAATCTGTAAATATAGTACTGCGCCCCGAGGGCCGCACACATGCATACAACATATACATATATATACATACATACATATTCAGTGTAAGGGATCCCAAAACTTATCCTTCCGCATGGCCTCACACCTGCATGCTGGCAGTCTGTGTAACAAGCATGTTTACACGACTCCGGGAACGTGCTACTTAACTCATTACAGCAGGTACTGGTGCTCGTACTGGGCCATGGAGCGAGGCTGTGACAAGCAGCCAAGGAGATGTGAGCCAAAAGTGATCAGAATCCTTGAGGAAAACCAAAAAAAAAAAACTAATCATGAAGAGTACACACTTTTCCCATGGGTCTTATGTCTCTTTGACTAGAGTTTAAAACATCCATGCTAAACTGCATCTGATATTATGGCTGCCAAGTATCTGTCAGATACTTTGAAACTATGCCAAAGCCCATTCAAGTTGTCAAAAATATTTTCGCGCTCTAATCTCGGTCGTAATTTATGAAAGCCTCCCTAGTATGTATCGGAGGCATCTATCTATCTATCTATCTGGTATATCTATGGGTCTGCTCCGGCGGAATGTCAACAGTGCGAAGATACTTAACATTTTTATTGGCACTCGGAGTGTCGGCAGCTGTTGCCGCCCTCTGACGTGTTGATGGATGCACGATATGGGTGGCAGTCCGTTGCCGAGGGGTTGGAATTTTCATTTGGATTTTCCCTCCTTTTTCTTTCCATTCCTTTATTTTTTGCGCATATATATGAATATGTATCTGGGGCCCCCAGCACGTGTTTTGTGTGCGCCATGAAAAATGCATAAGCGCCGCCAGCGAAGCTCCATGGATGAGCTCTCCGTTGGCTCCGTTGCTACGTTTCTTAGGATTTTCTGCTGGCCATATTGATATGCGTGTGTACATATATATTATGCTGCTCAACCAGCGAGCAAACATTTGCGCATTTTGCCCATTTTCACGTAGCCCAGAGAAGGGGGAGCGTATAGGAAAAACATTCTGATTATTGTGCTGCAAAGTCAAAGTCATGGCAGCCATGCTGCTGCTGCTCCTGGTGCTGCTCCAGCCTGTTTGTTGTAATAACGCGTAATGCCAAAAGAAACAGGCAAGACGACTTCCCTCAATACGCCCAGCAGCGAAACAACAAACAGAAAAACACAAAACCGAAACACTGCCAACGTGCAGCATTTCTTTTATGAGTTTGTCCATGGATTTTGGTTCACAGTCAGCGAGGGCAGTTACTGCAATATTTTACTATAAACCTAATTATTTTTAGATTTTACATATTAAAGATACATAACAAATGGAAAACTTAGTCAAGTTTATTAGCCACAATTAGCAGCTAACATAGTTCACACGTTTCTTAGCGGAAATTCCTAAAAATGTTGGAGAAGTAAAGTGAAGTATGAGTTCTTGACATTTTAGAAATAACTATAAGAGTGCAATTTCTATACAAATTTCACCAACTTTAGGCTCCCACAAATGCCAACTATTTGAACAGGAATTTATATATTAAAATCAATTTAATAACATCACAAGTTTGTCGATTAAAAACTTTGAGCTAGCAGAAAATGCATGCATTTATGACCTGAAATTCAAAGAAATTAAATACTTTTTCTATAAGAAAAATGATAAGGAGCTGCTAGACATTCCGCAGAACTTTTCAATCTTTCCGCTCGACATGGTGGCCTTTCTTTTTAGGCAGCCGATTATTCCAACTGAAATTTTTGTTGCCTGCAGAAAAAAAAGCCACTGCAGCAACGTGATGTCAAAACAAATGAAAGTCATAAGAAACGGCAGACTTTGGCTGCTCCTTGCTTTTGGCCCCCGTGGGCCTTCTGCTGCTGCTGCCGCTTTGCAAACAAACAAAACTTTGGCCAACAAACAAAACAGCATCAGGCAGCATCAGAAATATCTATATTCGCACCCATATTCACGGCACCGCGGGCCATGCAAGGCATAAAAAATTATTTGCAACAATTGCCGTCATCTTTTGGTGGAAACGTGACGCCTGCGAGGCAGCAAGTTGATTTTCTCTTCGATTTGTCCCGAACTCTCGAACTGGGAACCCCCCAGTGCGATGTCGTAGGATAATAACGATAATGAGGCGGGGATTGGTGGGAACAAAAAAAAAAGGAAATTAGCTCAGTGGGGAGGAGAGTTGCCATAATTAGTTCGGCAAATCGTAAAAAGCGCCGAATTACCGGCTAGAGCTATTTTCATAAAAACATTTATCCGTTTCTCGCCAACAGCATCTGTTTCTGGCTAAAACCATTCCACAATTTTCCTCCTTTTTTTGGGGTTATTGCCTAGCCGTCGGCGTCATAAAAAAAGGCATAACGCAATTGCTGGCATTATAAATTTGACATGTTATTTTCGTCGCCTCGTCAGAATAAAATACTCATACGGATTGCCACATTCCAAGTGCAGATGGCCAGAGGGGGGAATAGGTTGATGACGGCCTGGCATATGAAATGAATTTTGAATTTTGGTCGCAGAGAGTTGAAAGGAGTCGATGGTACTGTGCCCTACATTCCCTTCCGCTAGATCAATTCTCTGGGAGCACTAAGCCCAGTGACAAAATGCCAACTATGTCAGCTGTCAAAAAAATTCCATAAAGAACAGAGTTCATTTATATGGATTTTGATCTAGCTTAAAATCTGTTTAGAATGATGTGTTTTAAACTATGGGCTTATATAGTTAAGATTTATAGCTGGTATTTAAGAAATTATACAACTTTATTTATAATGAACGAAATTCCAAGGCAAGTGTTTAGTTTTTAATGCAAATACTTGTTTAATATGCCAAGCATATTAAAGTTTATATCATAAAACAAGCTTCAAATCAAGATTTACTTTCTGTAAAACAATCTTAACTAGATTGGGCAATCAAAATTGGTGTGAAATATACTCCATTGATCAACTCAATACTTCTTAACCAATAGACTCAAATTATTTATTGTTTTACCTTTTTCCTCCTTAAAAAAAACCCAAGTACTCTCTGTCTCCAGGGTATTACTATGATTTTTGCCCGCATGACGGCCGCGGCAAACATGAAATTTACGACCGGGCATCATATTAAAAATTTAAATTAATTTCCAACTGGGTGTGACGAGTGGAATTTTCTATTTATCCACCGCTGCGAGTTGGAAATTTTGCACTTTCCGCATCTATGTTATATTTTGGTTTAATAAAGTTGAAACTCAAAGTCGTTGGGGGGAAGATCTATGTACGTACGTACGAGGGACGCTGCAATCTCGGCCCAAAAGAAAACTGTTTGTGAAGCGTTTATGTCAAATTTATGCTAATGTATTTTACAATCGTTGCTCAGTCGGCGGGGCCCATGTCAAGTTTGTTGTCTCTTCGAGCCCTTCACATCAGCATAAATTTCCCAGCGCCCCGCTTGGCCTTATCATGGAAAAGTTTTTCCCGCACCGCCTGCGTCTAAGTAAATGGAGTCATAAAAATTGCGAAAGTCGCAAAAAACTTGTCAATTCGCTACACGTCACACGGTCTCGCCCTCGAAGGAAATGCGATCCCAGGAACTTCTCAACTGGCGAAGGGACGACCGAGAGAGCTTGACGCAAATCAAAGACTTAAGGTTGCTTACATGGAAATCCAAATGTGGCAGGACCCTTCTTTTGTGTATCTGTGTGTATTTGTGTGTGTGCTTGAATGTATCTCATGTCTGCCACTCAAAGGGTTCATCGTTTTTTGGCCAATTCGCTGGCTGGAGGACGGGTGTTGCCTAAACGACGCAATAAGCTTAGCACTTCCACCACCATTGAGCACGGAGCAGGGAGCAGTGAGTCCTGGCTCCAGGATCCTGGATTTTCATTGCTTCAGCTTGAGTGGAGACGACTTGGCGTCTTTGTTTGATAAGCGCCACGAAATGGCCAACAATGTTACGTCATTGTTCATTGAAAAGTGCGCAGCATGCAAATTGTTCGCCTCTTTTCTTTTTCCTTATTTTTTTTTGTGCGCAATTTTCCAATTTTCCTCGGCTGCGGCAATTATTTGCGGTCATCGCCCATATATCTTATATTGAATGTGCGGGTGAAAAAATCGGTCAAGCATTGAAAACACGCCGCAGGACACACACACATGCGTGTGTATCAGGATATGGAGTTGGGCGAAAGGGAGTGTGTGTGTGTAATGTCCTGGGCCCCCAAGGGTGTGCGTAACTTTTATTTTATGGCCACCGATGATGAGAGCGCTGTGGGAGTCACAAAAACGATTGAATAAAGAAATCCAGGCACCGGGACACCCACGCCAACTTGGCGACAATGCCGTGACCCCAACCACCCCACAAACCCCAACCCAACCCCAACTCCAACCCCAACCCCTTTTGAGTCAACCCCCAAACAGTTGTTAGCCAGCCTCATAGAAATTTATAGGCACGCGTGTTACATTGACGTGGGTCTGAGGTTGCCAACAACCCAGAGAAGCTCTAACTCAGGGATGGGGATGGGAGGAGGGAGGATGTTTTCCGGGGAGGTGGGGAGCTTGAAACTCGGTGAAATGGGAAACGGAAAATGGGGAGAATCCGCATCCGGTGAGGGAGGGGAGTTTGTGCATGCAAAAGTAGCAAAATTATACGAAACGAACGCGCTTTTGGCAACCCAAAAAACCAAACAACCAACCGCACAAATGCCAACTGCTGCCATCTTGGCATTGATGCGAAACCTGGCTCCTTGAGGAGGCCAAAACGACGAAATCTTTAACAACGATTTCCCTAAATACTTCCGAATTTCATACATATTACAATATCACGGCAGACGGAGCAGCAACCGCAGCTACATTGTTGAGGGCGAAACGAAATCACGCGAAATTTTTACAACGC